ATAGTTGTGTACTTGTACTGCAGTAATCTGATAGTTGTGTACTTGTACTGCAGTAATCTGATAGTTGTGTACTTGTAGCTGCAGTATCTGATAGTTGTGTACTTGTAGTGCAGTACTCTGATAGTTTGTGTACTTGTACTGCAGTACTCTGATAGTTGTGTACTTGTAGTGCAGTAATCTGATAGTTGTGTACTTGTAGTGCAGTAATCTGATAGTTTTGGTACTTGTACTGCAGTAATCTGATAGTTGTGTACTTGTAGTGCAGTAATCTGATAGTTGTGTGTACTTGTACTGCAGTAATCTGATAGTTGTGTACTTGTACTGCAGTAATCTGATAGTTGTGTACTTGTAGTGCAGTAATCTGATAGTTGTGTACTTGTACTGCAGTAATCTGAATAGTTGTGTACTTGTACTGCAGTAATCTGATAGTTGTGTACTTGTACTGCAGTAATCTGATAGTTGTGTACTTGTACTGCAGTAATCTGATAGTTGTGTACTTGTAGTGCAGTACTCTGATAGTTGTGTACTTGTAGTGCAGTACTCTGATAGTTGTGTACTTGTACTGCAGTATCTGATAGTTGTGTACTTGTACTGCAGTAATCTGATAGTTGTGTACTTGTACTGCAGTACTCTGACAGTTGTGTACTTGTAGTGCAGTACTCTGATAGTTGTGTACTTGTAGTGCAGTACTCTGATAGTTGTGTACTTGTAGTGCAGTACTCTGATAGTTGTGTACTTGTAGTGCAGTACTCTGATAGTTGTGTACTTGTAGTGCAGTACTCTGATAGTTGTGTACTTGTAGTGCAGTACTCTGACAGTTGTGTACTTGTAGTGCAGTACTCTGATAGTTGTGTACTTGTACTGCAGTAATCTGATTAGTTGTGTACTTGTACTGCAGTACTCTGATAGTTGTGTACTTGTACTGCAGTAATCTGATAGTTGTGTACTTGTACTGCAGTACTCTGATAGTTGTGTACTTGTAGTGCAGTACTCTGATAGTTGTGTACTTGTAGTGCAGTACTCTGATAGTTGTGTACTTGTAGTGCAGTACTCTGATAGTTGTGTACTTGTACTGCAGTACTCTGACAGTTGTGTACTTGTACTGCAGTACTCTGACAGTTGTGTACTTGTAGTGCAGTACTCTGATAGTTGTGTACTTGTAGTGCAGTACTCTGATAGTTGTGTACTTGTAGTGCAGTACTCTGACAGTTGTGTACTTGTAGTGCAGTACTCTGACAGTTGTGTACTTGTAGTGCAGTACTCTGACAGTTGTGTACTTGTAGTGCAGTACTCTGACAGTTGTGTACTTGTAGTGCAGTACTCTGATAGTTGTGTACTTGTAGTGCAGTACTCTGATAGTTGTGTACTTGTAGTGCAGTACTCTGACAGTTGTGTACTTGTACTGCAGTACTCTGACAGTTGTGTACTTGTAGTGCAGTACTCTGACAGTTGTGTACTTGTAGTGCAGTACTCTGATAGTTGTGTACTTGTAGTGCAGTACTCTGATAGTTGTGTACTTGTACTGCAGTAATCTGATAGTTGTGTACTTGTACTGCAGTAATCTGATAGTTGTGTACTTGTACTGCAGTAATCTGATAGTTGTGTACTTGTACTGCAGTAATCTGATAGTTGTGTACTTGTACTGCAGTACTCTGATAGTTGTGTACTTGTAGTGCAGTACTCTGATAGTTGTGTACTTGTAGTGCAGTACTCTGATAGTTGTGTACTTGTACTGCAGTAATCTGATAGTTGTGTACTTGTAGTGCAGTAATCTGATAGTTGTGTACTTGTAGTGCAGTAATCTGATAGTTGTGTACTTGTACTGCAGTAATCTGATAGTTGTGTACTTGTAGTGCAGTAATCTGATAGTTGTGTACTTGTACTGCAGTAATCTGATAGTTGTGTACTTGTACTGCAGTAATCTGATAGTTGTGTACTTGTAGTGCAGTAATCTGATAGTTGTGTACTTGTACTGCAGTAATCTGATAGTTGTGTACTTGTACTGCAGTAATCTGATAGTTGTGTACTTGTACTGCAGTAATCTGATAGTTGTGTACTTGTACTGCAGTAATCTGATAGTTGTGTACTTGTAGTGCAGTACTCTGATAGTTGTGTACTTGTAGTGCAGTACTCTGATAGTTGTGTACTTGTACTGCAGTAATCTGATAGTTGTGTACTTGTACTGCAGTAATCTGATAGTTGTGTACTTGTAGTGCAGTACTCTGACAGTTGTGTACTTGTAGTGCAGTACTCTGATAGTTGTGTACTTGTAGTGCAGTACTCTGATAGTTGTGTACTTGTAGTGCAGTACTCTGATAGTTGTGTACTTGTAGTGCAGTACTCTGATAGTTGTGTACTTGTAGTGCAGTACTCTGATAGTTGTGTACTTGTAGTGCAGTACTCTGACAGTTGTGTACTTGTAGTGCAGTACTCTGATAGTTGTGTACTTGTACTGCAGTAATCTGATAGTTGTGTACTTGTACTGCAGTACTCTGATAGTTGTGTACTTGTACTGCAGTAATCTGATAGTTGTGTACTTGTACTGCAGTACTCTGATAGTTGTGTACTTGTAGTGCAGTACTCTGATAGTTGTGTACTTGTAGTGCAGTACTCTGATAGTTGTGTACTTGTAGTGCAGTACTCTGATAGTTGTGTACTTGTACTGCAGTACTCTGACAGTTGTGTACTTGTACTGCAGTACTCTGACAGTTGTGTACTTGTAGTGCAGTACTCTGATAGTTGTGTACTTGTAGTGCAGTACTCTGATAGTTGTGTACTTGTAGTGCAGTACTCTGACAGTTGTGTACTTGTAGTGCAGTACTCTGACAGTTGTGTACTTGTAGTGCAGTACTCTGACAGTTGTGTACTTGTAGTGCAGTACTCTGACAGTTGTGTACTTGTAGTGCAGTACTCTGATAGTTGTGTACTTGTAGTGCAGTACTCTGATAGTTGTGTACTTGTAGTGCAGTACTCTGACAGTTGTGTACTTGTAGTGCAGTACTCTGACAGTTGTGTACTTGTACTGCAGTACTCTGACAGTTGTGTACTTGTAGTGCAGTACTCTGACAGTTGTGTACTTGTAGTGCAGTACTCTGATAGTTGTGTACTTGTAGTGCAGTACTCTGATAGTTGTGTACTTGTACTGCAGTAATCTGATAGTTGTGTACTTGTACTGCAGTACAGACTGTGAGTACAGGGAGCATCTGTCTGAGACACCAAGCAGGATCTCTGCCCGAATAAGGAAGAGAGACGCTGCTGTTTATCTGCAGCTGGAACACACACACACACACACACACACACACACACACACACACACACACACACACACAACACACACACACACACACACACACACACACACACACACACACACACACACACACACACACACACACACACACACACACACACACACACACACACACACACACACACACACGTCTGCAGCAGGTCAATAAACATCCAGCCAGTTTAAAGACACGTATAACGACACTCTGGGACATCACTTCTCCAGAAGTCCCGCCCCTTGGCCTATCACGTACAATGTGTTGGAGCGCTGGCCAATAGGAGTGTTCCGTAGTGATCAGAGCATTTACATACACTCAAACCTATAGAACCTACTACAGGAGAGGGAACACCATGACAAGGAGAATAGGGACTCTCTAAACTACATGATTCTACACAATGAGTACTCTTACTACGGAGTACTTTTACTCTTTGGTATGTCTTCTTTAATTGAAGTAAAGTACTTCTTCCCTCTCTGGTGACTTGTCTCTGGACTCTGGCTTCAACACCAAACACCTGAGTGACAGCAGAGATTAGAACGGAAGGTGTTCTTCTAAGATAAGATGGAACTGTATTTATCCCCGTGGGGACACGCAGGCGTTGATAGCAGCAAGAGCTAAACACAGGATTCCCTAACCCTAAAGCGAGGAAGTAGAACGTTGAGCATTTGAATGAATACCACGAGCTTCCCATCATTGATAATGTCTCTCAGAGGAATCAGAGCTCTGAACGTGTGCAGATCTGAGGCTCTATATAAGGCTGTGAGCAGCGTGTCGTTAACAAAGTGAGAGCGTGCCCCTTTTCCGTCTCGCAGCCAGAGCCTGTTCATGCTCTGGAAATACATCTGCTGTCACATCGTCCCGCTGCCCTCAGACGTGGAAACAGCCTCCGCTATGTGAGAGAGCTAACACACCTCATGACATCACTTCCTGTGCCCTGGAGGTCAATGGTTCTCTGGATGGGTTTTTGGTTGTTAGCCTGAAATAAGGCTGAAGTGTAATTATCACGTGTTAGAAATAAAGAGTTCAAAGAGTTTAAAGAAAGTGTTGGGTGCCAATGATTGACATTCAGATTTTAAGATACACGCCCACAGGTAACGACACGAAAAATGATATTTGCAAAGCGGCTGTGTGTAACATCAGACACTGGGTTGTAATTTAAAAAACGTTAGGACTCCTTATCTAAATGTCAGTGCAGAAAGTCATCAAATACAACGTAAATATAATACTTTGTATTTCTCATTGACACGGTTCTGTATAAACTATGCAATTAATTAATATCTGTATTAATACTTATACACCACTGGATGTATTGGAATATACACATTTTAACCCCAATCCTAACCGGAAAGTCGAATATTTATATAAATATTGTAATTACATTTCGTTCAATTATGTAATTGTATTGCACCTTTAACTTTAACTTCTATTTTTGATATAATCTAACAGTTGAAATAAAAATATATTTGCAGTTATTTTTTTCAATTTTATTATTATTTTTATTGTATTTTAAAATAAAGCGTCTGTTACAAAACCCGATCTCCCCACGGATAAAACATTCTGGCCCTGATGTGTTGTTATTTATGAAATAACGGACATTCCAGCTTCTGGGTTTTGCCATAAAGACTCTATTACCCAGAATGCCTTGCAGAAAAGTCATTCTCTTGTATCCTTGTATCATCACACAGCACTTCATATTCTATAAAAAAAGTGTACTCACAAGATCTCATCGTTGTCGAACTCCAGGGCTCCGTGGGTATCTTCGAAGTCTTCGCCGCCACCCTTCGCCGTGCCCTCCGTGGTTTTATACGGCACCATCACGACGCCGCGAGCCCCCGACGTCCGGATCACCTTCACCTTCACATACAGACAATTCTTTATTAGGATTAGTGATGGGAGTTACGGCTCTCTGGAGGGAGCCAGATCTTATGGCTCCATTCCTTTCTGAGAGCCGTTCAAAAGAGCCGTTCTTTTTTTAAGTGGCTGTGGAGATCATTCGTTGAATCTGCTTTAAATTATATTTTGGCTTTACAAATGTTGCACTCCGCTTCATCATTGCCTATGTTTTTGTTGAAGTGCATCCAAATGCTGCTGCGTTTTCACGTTTGGCTCATTTTCTCACCCGAAAAACACGTCGTCTACCTGTACCACGTGTTATGACTTCTCTCTCTCTCATGTGTATTCCATTAAGACCCGCCCCTACTCTGCCTCTGATTGGCTAAGCCTAACCCACAACATCTCACTCCTCGTGCCTACACCTAACCAATCAGAGTAGGGGCGGGTCTTCATGGAATAATCTTGGGGTACAAAATCAAGGTTTTTCACTGTTCACGTAAAGGCGAGTGGATTTATGGCAGGCAGTGAACCAACGATAAAAAGAACGGCTCTCATCAAGTACGACTCGGTTCCCTTCGTTCGTACCAAAGAGCCGTTCAAAATAAAGTATACCCCCCAGCTCTCAGTGATCCTGCTGTGATGTTCCATGTTTGTTGTTTGTTTCTCATGTGTGTTGATGTGTGTCTGTTGATGTTCCACATGGAGCTGAGGCCTGTACTACGAAGCCGGTTCAACCTAACCTGGATATGTTTGAGTTAGCCGGTTGGTCTAATCCAAAACATACGCGCTCTCGCTAAGCGGTCCTACGACGCGGGTTATCAAGTGGATCGCTCAAGCCAGCCGTGTCCTATCTAGTTAGGTGTTCACATGAGAGGGGTGATATCTGGAGCATTCCACCAATCACAGACATGGAGAAGCGCACTGACAGCGCAGCGTCATACTTCCTGAATGAAAAGTGAACTATAATACTAGTCAAAAATGAAGAAGTTAAACTTGAAACATCCATGACTTAAACACTTGATCCAGGATCAAAGCCACAGAGCTGCACCTGCAAGGTGAACACAGCTGGGAACAGAACAAGTGTTTGAATGCGTACATTAACAGCTTTATGATATCACTGCCCGTCTAAGACACCATCTGACTTTCATTACATTTGACTCCAGTGTTTCCTCAACTTAATGTGTTGCTTCAAATAATGCTTCTGCATCCAGTCTGTGACGCTGTGAGTGTTGCACGGCCAGATACGGCTCAGCTGACTCAGATCAGGAGATGATACATTATGAAGTGATATGGACTGTACTTAATGTGACTCTGATCCGGTTACTTATGTTGTGGCAGATATTTCAGTAAGCTTTCTTAACACTAATGTTATAATAGTCAGATTGCTCTGAAGATGGAGCTGATATTCTATTCATGTTCACGTTCACACAGTCGCTGATTGTTGCCGGCCGTCTTTCCTGCGACGGCAGCTTTTCTGTATTTCCTTTCTCCTGTAATATGACTTGATCGCTTTAAACTCACGCACTGAGCTCTGATTGGTCAGCAGGCGGTGCTTTCACTGAGTTGAGCTCTTAGCCTGCAACCTAACCTGCTCCGGAGCAGGCTAGCCGCTCAGCATCAGTTACCATGGAGATCTAGCCGCTAAGAAGAGAACCAGCTTCGTAGGACCGGAAAGCCAGAGTTAACCCTGAAGTTAGCCGCTAAGAGAACATCCTGCTTCGTCGTACAGGCCTCTGGAGTGATGTTCCATGTTTGTTGTTTGTTTCTCATGTGTTGATGTGTGTTTGTTGATGTTACACATGGAGCTGCTGTGATGAAAGGAGCATTTCAGACTTGATCTGACCATTAAAGTGTTATCGTAGCGTATATCGTATTCCAGTCTGTTGGGGCTTTAAACATGAACTCTCTTCTGCCAATAGCTTTGTTTGCAGAGGTTTGTACTTACTTCCATCATGCCGACGCTCTCGCTGATGGTCACCTGCGGCTCCTCGAAGGTAAAGATGCCGGCGTGGTCGTCATCAAATATCGTGACGGTGGCCGAGCACGGCAAACCTAACCCGGCGAGGGCGTCCACATGGTTGTTCTCGCCCTGTGATATCACCATCACATTGCTGAGGTGAACCAAGAAGTGTTCGTCTTCCTCAAAGATGTCGTCGTCGATTATCTCGATGCGGATCTCCTTCTCCGTCTCCCCGGGTTTGAACACGATAGTCCCTTCGGTGAATCTGTAATCTGACCCTGCGTTCGCGGTGCCGTCTTCTGTTCGGTAATCCACGCAGATGGTGTTCCCGGGATCTCCTCCGCGACGCACAACGTTCAGAGCGACGCTGCCGCAGTTCTCCAGACACCGGTAGGTGCCGGGGTCGAAGAACAGCTTGGAGGAGAAGTCGTTGGCGGCGATTTCGGAGCAGATGTCGTGTTGATTCACCCTCTTGGCCTAAGATAATATAAGATATACAGAGATGGCAAGATAACACACATCCTTTACTCAAGTAGAAGTACAGATAGTCTTGTTTAAAAGTACTCTGGTGAAAGTAGAAGTACTGACTAAACTTCTTTATCAAGTCAAAGTAAAGAGACTTTGAAGTGTACTTCAGTAGAAAGTACCCATAACTAGCAGCAGCTTTAAAGAGTACCTGACCTCCCTTTATATTAATAGAACAATAATGTCATTGTTAGCTAATGAATGTTTCCATGCTGAACAACGGCAACATGACAACGTTTCCATTGGTCCCTCTTCTTTAGAGAAGACCAGGAAATGATGGATACACGGATCGTGTTCAAATCAATAGGCACGCAATGACTCTAAAGAATAATGATCACGCACCAAACACACATTCAGACTAAAGGAACCAGCTGTTTGGAAAATGAGAGAAGTAGAAAGTACAAGTATTTGAGTTCAACATGTAAGAAGTAGAAAGTACAAGTATTTGAGTTCAACATGTGAGAAGTAGAAAGTACAGGTATTTGAGTTCAACATGTAAGAAGTAGAAAGTACAGGTATTTGGGTTCAACATGTAAGAAGTAGAAAGTACAGGTATTTGTGTTCAACATGTGAGAAGTAGAAAGTACAGGTATTTGAGTTCAACATGTAGGAAGTAGAAAGTACAGGTATTTGAGTTCAACATGTAAGAAGTAGAAAGTACAGGTATTTGTGTTCAACATGTAAGAAGTAGAAAGTACAGGTATTTTATTTTGTAACAAGTCAAAGTAAAGAGTCGTCAGAAAAATAAGTAGTGGAGTAAAGTACTGGTACCAGAAACATGTACTTAAGTACAGTAACGAAGTATTAGTACTCCACTACTTCCCACCTCTGCACAAATACAATGAACACAGCAGCACAATAATAATACAACTATACACTAACAGCAGTAAAAAGAGCGATTCAATAAGTACAGCACCTGTTCGGCGGCGTGTTTCTTCAGGATGTTCCCGGCGCCCGTCATGATCCTGGTGGCCTGGCAGCGGTAGAACGCTCTGCTCTTCTGCTGCTGGCTCAGAACCTGGTAGTTGGCGAGCTCCATCAGCTGCTCCATCTCCTTCTCGGGGTGTTTCTGTTTCAGCTCCTTCAGGATCCGGGCCACCTCTCTGCGCGACTCCTCCTCGTCCAGCTCCTTGAACTCAAACTCTTCTCCTCCGTGGGAGAAGTTCAGCATCTTCCCGTCCATCTCCACGTCAATCTTTGACGGCAGCTCCAACGGTTCTCCCTCCGTCTCGATGATTACTCCTTTCCTCTTCCCGGCCCGGTAGCGTTTGTACATGTACTTGTAGAAGAGGAGTCTGCGGTCGGCCACGTAGGCGAACCCGACGCATATCGGGAAGAAGGCGAGCGTGACGAGCCCCTCCCAGATTTGAACGACCCCGGGGAGAAGACGGCGAGGATCAGGTAGAGCCAGATGTAGGCGAACACGCTCCAGGTGGCGGTGACGAAGAACACCCGGAGGTGCTTCACCTTCCTGGTTTCTCCGTCGGGAATCACGGACACGCAGAGGCCAATGATGACGAACATGTTGAAGGCGGCGCTTCCCACGATGGTGTTGGGTCCGAGCTCTCCGGCGTTGAACCCGTGACCGCAGACCTCCACCACCGAGAGCAGGATCTCCGGAGCAGAGGAGCCCAGAGCCATCAGCGTCAGGTTGGACACCGTCTCGTTCCAGACGCGCACCTGAAATAGGAAAATATTAAACTCACTTACTTATTTTAAGTCAGGGGGGTCCAAACTGTTTTCACCGAGGGCCACATACAGAAAGATATACGAGGGTGTGGGCCGCTCACTAGAGGCGTATCGCCTCATAAGTTAGAAAACTCAATCCAATGTAGGCAAATGATTCTGGATACTTGAAAATGCTGTTAGAAAATACATGAATACTGTGTAATATATTTGAACATACATATTTAAGCGGTACAATATAAGACAAGCAGAAGTTTATTATACTTAAGTCATTATACTTTTTTAATTTGCTGAGGGCCGATTCAAAATGGCCCCGGGCCGTAGTTTGGACACCCCTGCTTTAAAAATCCCCTATTGCAGGGGTTCCCAAACTTTTCAGCCCGGGGCCCCCAAAATAACAGAGACTGGCGACCCCTGTCAAATTATTTTATTTTAGTTTTCCGCACTCTCGCGGGAATATCTCCACAATGGAGCGTTTCACTTTCGAGTGCATGAAATAGCGCATATAGTAGTCTAAATTTCATAAGAGGTGTAAGACCTGAGAGCATTTTAAATCTTATTTGATCGAAAGGCTGATATAATCTGTAGTTGTATTTGTATTGTTGATTTAATGTGTGAACGAGGCGATGTAGAGAAGTCAAGCTGTCATTATTAGGCTGTCGTTTGTTATAAACTGTTGGAGTGGTGAGCAGGCCTTTTGTCTTTGGGTATTTGTGGAGGTGGTCCGTGAGTGTTTTGTTATTGGCTAAGTGTCCTTGGTATGAAAAGGTTTGAGAAACACTGCGCTAGTGGATTGTCAACGGGGGGAGCCTCGCTGCGGGGAAATTATACATATGGCTAGTGCGCCCCTGAAAAATGTCTATGCACACGTTATTATTAATAATAAGAAAATACAAATTAATATTTTTAATTTTCAATTTTTATTTTGTAATCATCTCGCGACCCCCACTCTGGGAACCCCTGCCCTATTGTACTGTTTTCATCAATATATCCCAGGTCTCAGATATATCCAGAGCCTTTCTCTGATTGGCTGAAACACCAAACAGGTCATTGCAGCATTACCCATAATCCCCTCTGTTTCAGCCCTGTTTCCAACGTGCTGATTCTCTGTCTGTTACTTCAGATGAAAATAAGGAGCCCCTCCCCACGCCCCTCTGAGAGACATTTGGTTACAAAGAACTCAATGGAGCTCTAGGAGGAGATTCAGTTGATAAGGGGGGGGGGGGGTTACCTTGGTTGCTGATTGGCTAATGGTTACACAAGACAAAACATCGTTATGACATCATCAAGGGGCCAAAATCTGATCAGCTCATTTTCAGACAGGTTTTTATAGAAATGGATCAAAAAGAGAGAGAATCTTTGTTCCTGAAACTTTCAGAGTCTCTTTCCACAGAGGGGACACATGGTGATGTAGAAGAGACATGAAGAAGAGGGGACACATGGTGATGTAGAAGAGACATGGAGAAGAGGGGACACATGTTGATGTAGAAGAGACATGAAGAAGAGGGGACACATGTTGATGTAGAAGAGACATGAAGAAGAGGGGACACATGTTGATGTAGAAGAGACATGAAGAAGAGGGGACACATGGTGATGTAGAAGAGACATGAAGAAGAGGGGACACATGGTGATGTAGAAGAGACATGAAGAAGAGGGGACACATGTTGATGTAGAAGAGACACATTGATAGAAGAGATGAAGAAGAGGGACACATGTTGATGTAGAAGAGACATGAAGAAGAGGGGACACATGGTGATGTAGAAGAGACATGAAGAAGAGGGGACACATGTTGATGTAGAAGAGACATGAAGAAGAGGGGACACATGTTGATGTAGAGAGACATGAAGAAGAGGGGACACATGTTGATGAGAAGAGACATGAAAGAAGAGGGGACACATGTTGATGTAGAAGAGACATGAAGAAGAGGGGACACATGTTGATGTAGAAGAGACATGAAGAAGAGGGAACACATGTTGATGTAGAAGAGACATGAAGAAGAGGGGACACATGTTGATGTAGAAGAGACATGAAGAAGAGGGGACACGTGTTGATGTAGAAGAGACATGAAGAAGAGGGGACACATGTTGATGAAGAAGAGACATGGAGAAGAGGGGACACATGTTGATGTAGAAGAGACATGAAGAAGAGGGGACACATGTTGATGTAGAAGAGACATGAAGAAGAGGGAACACATGTTGATGTAGAAGAGACATGAAGAAGAGGGGACACATGTTGATGTAGAAGAGACATGAAGAAGAGGGGACACGTGTTGATGTAGAAGAGACATGAAGAAGAGGGGACACATGTTGATGAAGAAGAGACATGGAGAAGAGGGGACACATGTTGATGTAGAAGAGACATGAGGAAGAGGGGACACATGTTGATGTAGAAGAGACATGGAGAAGAGGGGACACATAGTGATGTAGAAGAGACATGGAGAAGAGGGGACACATGTTGATGTAGAAGAGACATGGAGAAGAGGGGACACATAGTGATGTAGAAGAGACATGGAGAAGAGGGGACACATGTTGATGTAGAAGAGACATGAGGAAGAGGGGACACATGTTGATGTAGAAGAGACATGGAGAAGAGGGGACACATGTTGATGAAGAAGAGACATGAAGAAGAGGGGACACATGTTGATGTAGAAGAGACATGGAGAAGAGGGGACACATAGTGATGTAGAAGAGACATGGAGAAGAGGGGACACATAGTGATGTAGAAGAGACATGAAGAAGAGGGGACACATGTTGATGTAGAAGAGACATGAAGAAGAGGGGACACATGTTGATGTAGAAGAGACATGGAGAAGAGGGGACACATAGTGATGTAGAAGAGACATGGAGAAGAGGGGACACATAGTGATGTAGAAGAGACATGGAGAAGAGGGGACACATGTTGATGTAGAAGAGACATGAAGAAGAGGGGACACATGTTGATGTAGAAGAGACATGGAGAAGAGGGGACACATAGTGATGTAGAAGAGACATGGAGAAGAGGGGACACATAGTGATGTAGAAGAGACATGAAGAAGAGGGGACACATGTTGATGTAGAAGAGACATGAAGAAGAGGGGACACATGTTGATGTAGAAGAGACATGAAGAAGAGGGGACACATGTTGATGTAGAAGAGACATGGAGAAGAGGGGACACGTGTTGATGTAGAAGAGACATGGAGAAGAGGGGACACGTGTTGATGTAGAAGAGACATGGAGAAGAGGGGACACATGTTGATGTAGAAGAGACATGAAGAAGAGCGGACACATGTTGATGTAGAAGAGACATGAAGAAGAGGGGACACATGTTGATGAAGAAGAGACATGAAGAAGAGGGGACACATGTTGATAAAGAAGAGACATGAAGAAGAGGGGACACATGTTGATGTAGAAGAGACATGAAGAAGAGGGGACACGTGTTGATGTAGAAGAGACATGAAGAAGAGGGGACACATGTTGATGTAGAAGAGACATGAAGAAGAGGGGACACATGTTGATGTAGAAGAGACATGAAGAAGAGGGGACACATGTTGATGTAGGAGAGACATGAAGAAGAGGGGACACATGTTGATGTAGAAGAGACATGAAGAAGAGGGGACACATGTTGATGTAGAAGAGACATGAAGAAGAGGGGACACGTGTTGATGTAGAAGAGACATGAAGAAGAGGGGACACATGTTGATAAAGAAGAGACATGAAGAAGAGGGGACACATGTTGATGTAGAAGAGACATGAAGAAGAGGGGACACATGTTGATAAAGAAGAGACATGAAGAAGAGGGGACACATGTTGATGTAGAAGAGACATGAAGAAGAGGGGACACATGTTGATGTAGAAGAGACATGAAGAAGAGGGGACACATGTTGATAAAGAAGAGACATGAAGAAGAGGGGACACATGTTGATGTAGAAGAGACATGAAGAAGAGGGGACACGTGTTGATGTAGAAGAGGGACACGTGTGATGTAGAAGAGACTAGAAGAGGGGACACGTGTTGATGTAGAAGAGACATGAAGAAGAGGGGACACATGTTGATGTAGAAGAGACATGAAGAAGAGGGGACACATGTTGATGTAGAAGAGACATGAAGAAGAGGGGACACATGTTGATAAAGAAGAGACATGAAGAAGAGGGGACACATGTTGATGTAGAAGAGACATGAAGAAGAGGGGACACATGTTGATGTAGAAGAGACATGAAGAAGAGGGGACACATGTTGATGTAGAAGAGACATGAAGAAGAGGGGACACATGTTGATGTAGAAGAGACATGAAGAAGAGGGGACACATGTTGATGTAGAAGAGACATGAGGAAGAGGGGACACATGTTGATAAAGAAGAGACATGAAGAAGAGGGGACACATGTTGATAAAGAAGAGACATGGAGAAGAGGGGACACATGTTGATGTAGAAGAGACATGAAGAAGAGGGGACACATGTTGATAAAGAAGAGACATGAAGAAGAGGGGACACATGTTGATGAAGAAGAGACATGAAGAAGAGGGGACACATGTTGATAAAGAAGAGACATGAAGAAGAGGGGGACACATGTTGATGTAGAAGAGACATGAAGAAGAGGGGACACAGTGTTGATGTAGAAGAGACATGAAGAAGAGGGGACACATGTTGATGTAGGAAGAGACATGAAGAAGAGGGGACACATGTTGATGTAGAAGAGACATGAAGAGAGGGGACACATGTTGATGTAGAGAGAGACATGAAGAAGAGGCGACACATGTTGATGTAGAAGAGACATGAAGAAGAGGGACACATGTTGATGTAGAAGAGACATGAAGAAGAGGGGACACGTGTTGATGTAGAAGAGACATGAAGAAGAGGGGGACACATGTTGATAAAGAAGAGACATGAAGAAGAGGGGACACATGTTGATGTAGAAGAGACATGAAGAAGAGGGGACACATGTTGATGTAGAAGAGACATGAAGAAGAGGGGACACATGTTGATGTAGAAGAGACATGAAGAAGAGGGGACACATGTTGATGTAGAAGAGACATGAAGAAGAGGGGACACGTGTTGATGTAGAAGAGACATGAAGAAGAGGGGGACACAGTGTTGATGTAGAAGAGACATGAAGAAGAGGGGACACATGTTGATGTAGAAGAGACATGAAGAAGAGGGGACACATGTTGATGTAGAAGAGACATGAAGAAGAGGGGACACAGTGTTGATGTAGAAGAGACATGAAGAAGAGGGGACACGTGTTGATGTAGAAGAGACATGAAGAAGAGGGGACACATGTTGATGTAGAAGAGACATGAAGAAGAGGGGACACATGTTGATGTAGAAGAGACATGAAGAAGAGGGGACACATGGTGATGTATAAGAGACATGAAGAAGAGGGGACACGTGTTGAGCTTGGGAACATTCCTTATGAAGAAGATGTGTTGCACTTTGTTCGTGACTCTGCAGAGCTGAGACCTTCCTGATGCTGCCTCCCTAACTCTCAGAATGCTCCTCTGTTCTCACCAAGCTCAACCCTCCCTTTCTCCTCTCTGTGTCTCAATATCCCAAACTCTACTCTTCCTCTTCCGCTCCACAGACTTTCTCTGTGGGACCGACTGAACGTTCATGCAAGAAATCAAAGACAGCTGAACGGGTTGAGTCTCTATCCACATCTGATAAAGGCGTCCACACCAGAGTTCCCGTTAGAATATTTTTTCGCCGGTCAACGTGTCCGTTAAAGTTTACATCTTCCGGACAAAATGAGAAAAGAGCCGGTCAAAGGTCTTCTTTGTTATTTATTGTGCTTTAAAACAAATTGATATGATTCGATATTAAACAAACTAATTATAGCAGATTAACTACATTATTCAAAAGTGAACAGTAACTTACAATAACACGGGAATAATAAACGGAGCGCTCTCCCTCTCCTGACAGCCCGTCAGTATCATGCAGCTCGCGGATCAGTAATGAGTGACCCGACAGTAAAACTAAACATATCTATAACTAGTTTAGGTAGTTTGAGAGGTAATTAAAATAGCTACGTGTGATATTCTAACCTGAAGTGTGTTTTGTCCGCTCACCGCTGCATGTGATCATGCAGAGCTGCGTGTCGACTCGTCAGCAGCAGCTGATCTCTCTCTCCCGTCAGATTAGACTTCACTCGCGTTTATGTCCATATCGATCAGATCCAGCTAGTTCTAGCTAATGATAGGACTACCTGCTTATTAAAAGACACCTAAACAATAAGCGTCGCTATGCAACCGGGTGAGGCCGCAAAGTATAGCGCAGCATTATGCATTTGTTTACATGCCCACCGGAACCCCGAGGCATTACCAACAGATCAACGCACAATCAACCCACACAGGACATCTCTTTCTCCACATTACGTTTTAGACACAGGTTAGACATTATAATTGACTATTCTTGTCTGTCACATACTCTTTTGTCTGTCACATAAATGGCGCAAGTTGCGCAACTGATGTGGTATTGCGCTAAACGGAAATTATTTTGAACGGACACTTTGACCGGAGAGATTTAGATTTGCCGGTCTTCAGCATATTTTACCGGTCGTAGTCCGGTAATTACCGGCTAACGGGAACTCTGGTCCACACGTCTGTTGTTAAATCACTTCTGATTTAAAGTGCTTTATAAATAAAGCTGCATTGTATCGAGAGTCAGTGCAATCCAGCAAGAAGTCGAGTTTAAAGGTATTATTTATGTATTTTTCTTCATTTAGTTATTATATTTTTAAAACACTTACAATAGTTTTTGTGACATTTCTTGATGTCTTTTTTTCATTCAGGTACTTCTCACCATTCATTGTGTAACCTGCATAATGCTGTAGTGTGTGAGCTGAGCTGTGTGACCTTTGTATGTTTTGTGCGTTATAAATAAAGCTGTATTGTGTTATACTGTTATTTTGTATTTATTGATTGTTGTGCATTTATTTAGGTCTTAGTGTATATGTGTAAATGTGTCTGTTGGTTGTGTGTATATAGGATATACATATTTTATACATATTTTTATATATATATGTTTTTGTATTCGGGATTGTGGGAAACGGTATTTTGACGCACGCACGCACGCACGCATATGAGGGGCCGTACAGGCCATAATTCATACTGGTCCTCTCACGCACATACATTCTCCTTTTACATACATATATTTTCACTCTTACATACATACATTCTCCTTTTACATACATATATTTTATAATATGCATGTCTGAAGAGAATATATGTATGCAAGAGAAGAATGTATGTATGTGTGAAGAGAATGTATGTATGTGTGAAGAGAATGTATGTATGTCTGAAGAGAATGTATGTATGTCTGAAGAGAATGTATGTATGTGTGAAGAGAATGTATGTATGTGTGAAGAGAATGTATGTATGTCTGAAGAGAATATATGTATGTGTGAAGAGAATGTATGTATGTGTGAAGAGAATGTATGTATGTGTGAAGAGAATGTATGTATGCATGTGAAGAGAATGTATGTATGTGAGAGAGAAAGTATAGTGGAAACGGAAGGAGTATGGTTGAAACGGAAGGCAGGTCATTCTTGCGCTGTGATTGGCTCAGAAGGTCGAGCGGGGCGGGCTCATGTTCAGAACTTCTGATTTCAAATCAACATGATGGAGGGAGATGAATCGCGTAGATTGCAGCAAGCATTAGGGGTTTTAAGGAACATTTTGTCAACGCCTGAAACTGTCACATCCCTGGCCAGGTGTCCTTGCGGGTGCGTTCGCTTTACTTATCAGAGCGTGCCGTAAGGGCGGTTCCTCTTTGGTTTATAAACTCCCGCCTGGGACGGACTGATGCATTAGATTATGTGCTATATGGAGGGGACTCTGACAGAGTATTTCTCACAAAGTACACAGTAAAAGTACTTCAATGTATTGTTAGTAGCAGTCAAACTAGTACCGAGTCCAACAGTGTCAGTTTTATGAAGAACTTGTGGTAAAATATATTTGTAAAAAGAAAATGAAGAGCTACTGATTTGAAAAAACGGCTCTCTGTATAGTTTAAATCTCCTAACAATGTTGTCCATTTATTATTCTCCCCTCGAGTCCAACAGTGTCAGTTTTATTAAGAACTTTCAGTAAAAAATATTTGTAAAATATGAAGAGCAGCTGATTTGAAAAGACAAACGCGAGAGACGGCTGAGTGACCGCAGAATCGCTGTATAGTTTAAATCTCCTAACAATGTTGTCCATTTTAGACACATGCTTATTATATTTACAGCCTTAATAACATTCATTTTCTGGGCTCAATGTGTGTCTTGGCCGTTTTCGTTGTGATCGCTAAATTCACCTTGTTTCCCCTTGTTTATAATTATGTTCAACGTTCCAAGCAAACGAGTGCTTTTGTTTTGAAATCACTTCCGCGAGTATCACGCCCCCCCCCCCCCCCTCGCTACAATGACCATTAGACCATTTAGTAAGGCAGACACTCTTCCGTTTACTTGTTTAATAAAGAAAAACAAGTGGTCCGTAGATACACGGAGTCATCTAACCCTAACCCTCTCCCTCCATCATGTTGATTTGAATCAGAAGTTCTGAACATGAGCCCGCCCCGCTCGACCTTCTGAGCCAATCACAGCGCAAGAATGACCTGCCTTCCGTTTCAACCTCCTTCCGTTTCCACTATACTTTCTCTCTCACATACATATATTGTCTTCACACATACATACATTCTTCTCTCACATACATACATTCTTCTCTTGCATACATATATTGTCTTCACACATACATACATTCTTCACTTGCATACATATATTCTCTTCAGACATGCATATATTATAAAATATATGTATGTAAAAGGAGAATGTATGTATGTAAGAGTGAAAATATAGGTATGTAAAAGGAGAATGTATGTGCGTGAGAGGACCAGTATGAATTACGGCCTGTACGGCCCCTCATAAGTTTGACTCTGATTGTAATAATAACCCCCCCCCACACACACCGTGGTGGTGATCTTCTCCCCGTTGGGCTTCTTGATGGTGATCTGTCTCTCCTGCGACGTGATGACCTCGATGGAGGACATGAAGCGGTCAGCGATGATGGACACGCCCAGGAACATGTAGGCCAGTCCCACGAAGTAGATGGTGGCCCTGGCCATGCGGTCGATGAGGGGGGGGTCCAGGGGCTCCCACAGCGGCAGGATCACCCCCACAGCGCAGGCACTCGCTCCGCCACACCGGGTCTGGTTGCCGTCGGAGGAGTTGGAGGTCAGAGCAGATCCTGCAGAACACTGGAGCTGCACGGAGACGATGGAGAACAGGAGGAGAAGCCGAGCGACGGACGAGGTCCTGATCCGGATCATGGTGCGCTCCGTAACCTGAAACAGATCAATCAGAACCAGAACCAGAACCAAAATCAGAACCAGAACCAGAACCAGAACCAGAATAAGAATCAGAACCAGAACCATAATAAGAATCAGAACCAGAACCAGAATCAGAACCAGAATCAGAACCAGAATAAGAATCAGAACCAGAATCAGAACCAGAATAAGAATCAGAACCAGAATCAGAACCAGAATCAGAACCAGAATCAGAACCAGAACCAGAATCAGAATCAGAATCAGAACCAGAACCAGAATCAGAACCAGAATAAGAATCAGAACCAGAACCAGAATCAGAACCAGAATAAGAATCAGAACCAGAATCAGAACCAGAACCAGAATCAGAACCAGAACCAGAATCAGAACCGGAATAAGAATCAGAACCAGAATAAGAACCAGAACCAGAACCAGAATCAGAATCAGAACCAGAACCAGAATAAGAATCAGAACCAGAATCAGAACCAGAACCAGAATAAGAATCAGAACCAGAATCAGAACCAGAACCAGAATAATAATCAGAACCAGAATCAGAATCAGAATCAGAACCAGAATCAGAACCAGAATAAGAATCAGAACCAGAATCAGAACCAGAATAAGAATCAGAACCAGAACCATAATAAGAATCAGAACCAGAACCAGAATCAGAACCAGAATCAGAACCAGAATAAGAATCAGAACCAGAATCAGAACCAGAATAAGAATCAGAACCAGAATCAGAACCAGAATCAGAACCAGAATCAGAACCAGAACCAGAATCAGAATCAGAATCAGAACCAGAACCAGAATCAGAACCAGAATAAGAATCAGAACCAGAACCAGAATCAGAACCAGAATAAGAATCAGAACCAGAATCAGAACCAGAACCAGAATCAGAACCAGAACCAGAATCAGAACCGGAATAAGAATCAGAACCAGAATAAGAACCAGAACCAGAACCAGAATCAGAATCAGAACCAGAACCAGAATAAGAATCAGAACCAGAATCAGAACCAGAACCAGAATAATAATCAGAACCAGAATCAGAATCAGAATCAGAACCAGAATCAGAACCAGAATAAGAATCAGAACCAGAATCAGAACCAGAATAAGAATCAGAATCATAATCATAATCAGAACCAGAACCAGAATAAGAACCAGAACCAGAACCAGAATCAGAACCAGAATCAGAATAAGAACCAGAACCATAATAAGAACCAGAATCAGAACCAGAATCAGAACCAGAACCAGAATCAGAACCAGAACTCCACGATGCAGACAGATGAATGTTCTGGATGTGCAGATGTTTAGTAGTCTCACGCCAGTGGGATCATTTCTGGCGTTGGTTTGTAATATATTGAATCTTTCTGTACCTCAAACAGTTATAAAGATCACCTTTCATTTCTCAGTCTCCATCTGAACATTAACTAAAGCTTTAAACTAAATGTAGTGGAAATGTAAAGTGGCATGAAATTGCAATACTCAGGTAATGTACAAGTACATAAAAGGAAGCGATGGTTCTTTCCCAGAAATGTGTGATTTAATTTGAGTTGTTTCTCATAAATGTACTCCTCTCATCTCTAATGTAACTCCAGAGGTAACTCCAGAGGTAACTCCAGAGGTAACTCCAGAGGTAACTCCAGAGGTAACTCCAGAGGTAACTCCAGAGGTAACTCCAGAGGGAACTCCAGAGGGAACTCCAGAGGTAACTCCAGAGGTAACTCCAGAGGTAACTCCAGAGGGAACTCCAGAGGGAACTCCAGAGGGAACTCCAGAGGGAACTCCAGAGACGCTCCGTGAGACGGTACAGTGATATGAGAGAGTATAAATTGGAGACGTACCGTGAGGCTCGGGCAGAGGAAGTGAAACACAGCAGCTTCTTTATTTCAGTCTCTCCTCAGAAACCCCAGCAGCGCTCATCCTGCAGAGACACGGGACCAAAGGAGCGCGCCTCCTCCTGCAGCGAACACTGTCACAGTGAGGAGGAGGAGGAGGAGGAGGAGGAGGCACTCCCAAAATAACACCAACACCCCCAGACCTCCACAACTCCTCCTCCTCCTCCTCCTCCTCCTCCTCCTCCTCCTCCTCCTCCCTCCTCCTCCTCCTCCTCCTCCTCCTCCTCCTCCTCCTCCTCCTCCTCCTCCTCCTCCTAAGAAGCTAAGCTATCAGCACATGGAGCTGCAGGGACGTCACATGGATGAACAAATAGTAATGAGACCAGAAGTTCAAAAGAAAAAACAAGACTAAAATGTTATCCCTCAGAAATGTGTTGGAATCGCTCAGAGAAAAGCAGTCGATAATATCTATAATATCTATATCTATAGACGTGAAATAACACTTGATGTCCAAATATTATAGATATATATATAGATATTATAGATATATATAGATATATATATTATATATATATCTATAGATATTATAGATATAGATATTATATATATATATCTATAATATATATATATATATCTATACTATCTATATATCTATTATATATATATCTATATATATCTATAATATCTATATATATATCTATAATATTTGGACATCAAGTGTTATTTCACGTCTTGGTGACCATGGACAAAGAACTAAATATTTCAAAGCACCAAAATCAATATGTATCTACAATATTTAAAACAAAAGTCATGGCGCGTTTACGTCAGGAAGGTGAGTCGTGCCGCAAAAAATAACTTTGATGCTTCCCCAACGACAGCCTCTGATTGGTCCACAGAGGTCATGCAATGCTTCATGGGATGCATCATCAGATCTATAATCTCTATCTCCTAGAACTTCTACTTCCAGCACGGATATATGTTCCAAGACATCCATTGTTTGTGTTTACGCTTCGTGAAATAAAGAAACAAACATTGTTTTTCTAGAACAGATTACAAGTCGCCTGCAAACGGTACAAAACCTCAGAGGGTTAAATATGCTGACGAGGCGATATGTTATTCACTATGAGCTTGTTGTTGTTGTTGTTGTTGTTGTTGTTGTTGTTGTTGTTGTTGTTGTTGTTGTTAGGGTCTCTTAGAGGGGGGGTTCTGTTAGCTGTGAGGAACATTCGGAAGCTGAAGCTCAGTTTCTAACCCGCTGAAACTAATGCACGACATGTACCTGAACACTGAACATGAACACTGCAGTATTAGTACACAGTGGTGATGAAGTACATGTACTCATGTACTTAAGGACAATATGAGATACTTGTACTTTACTTAAGTTATTTTATTTCATTCTACTTTATACTTCTACTCCACTTGATTGATCTGACAGCTTTTCACAGATTCAGATTTTTAAATATAGTATAGTATATAGTATTTTACCATGTTCTACTTTTACTAAGATCTACTGCAATCATAACAATATTACCACATAGTGTGTAACTTAGTATGTACTCAAGTATTATTTTGAGGTACTTTACATGAGTCTTTCCATGTTCTACTACTCTATCCTTATACAGTACTACAGTAGTGAGTGAAATATTTGACTTTTTACAACATTGTTCAGACATTTCAACATATGTACTGTACATTTCCCTGATAGTACTTTTGTACTTTACGTTTTTTGACCTCAGGACGTACTGTAGTATTTGAGACTGTCGTATTACTACTTTTACTGAAGGGAAATATCTGAGTTCCTCTACTCCTACAACATGATATTTTAGATGCAATATTATTTTTACTGTGCTCAAATATAATGTTGACGTACATGTACTTTGTTTGAGTATTTCTATTGTCTGCAACTCTAAATTTCTGCTGCATTACATTTGTTTCTATGATATTATACTATATATTTATGACTTTCGTAATACTACTTCAAATATCTGAGTACTTCTTCTACCTTTCCTACAACATGACAATTTGATGCAATACAACAATATAACTACACAAAGTATAATGTTCCACTTTTTTCTGACACTTAACGTACATTTTCCTGATAATACTTCTGTACTTTAACATGAACAACACTTTGAACTCAGGTCTTGCTTGTAATGGAGTATTTTGAGTTACTTGAGTATTTCATTTTGTATACCACGTTATACTTGTACTCTACTACATCTCCGAGGTAAATATTGCACTTTCATGACCTTTTTCATACATTCAGACTGTCGTACTACTCTTACTGATTTTAAATACCTGAGTACTTCGTCACAGCTGGAGGTCAACCTGCAGCTTTTTGGCCCCGCTGAGCTCCGGTACTCACCCTGTGGCAGCAGCAGAAAGAGTGTGTGAGAGTGTGTGTGAGGAGGATAACGCTCTAAATGTACCAGAAGCAGACGTGGTTCTAAACATGGCCGCCGCTTATCGCCCCACGGCGCTCCGGCACCGTACAAGGCTCTCCGGGGCCCTCCGGAGACTCAGGAGATAACGGCTAACAGCTAGCAGAGGAATGCTGGGATAAGAAGTGTCACACACACACACACACACACACACACACACACACACACACACACACACACACACACACACACACACACACACACACACACACACACACACACACACACTTCAACAGAGGTGGAAGAAGTACAGTAGCAACACTAAACAGTACAAATACTTTGATAAAAGTACTGCATTCTAAATCGTACTGACGTTAGAGTACAGAACTGTCATCAGCTGAAACACTTAAAGTGAAGCAGAACATACTGAAAGTATCTCAAATAAAAGTACTCAGTATGCAGGATGAGTAATAATGTTGTTTTATTGTAGGATATTATAGTATTTAGTTTTTTATCAACAATAAATACATGTGAGAGTTTTTTAATGACGTTTTTTGTCTATGTGGAGCAAAGTGTGTGAGTGTGTGTGTGTTTGTGAATTGGTTTCTTTGTCATTTCAAGATTATATTTCCTAAATTGAGTCGTTTCCACTCACATATCGTTTTAATGATTTTTACGTAAGCCCTAATTTTGGAAATATTTACAGGTTGATTCCAGACTTCCTGTAGGTCTGTAGTGTTCTCATGCAGTGTGTTGAAACTCTGGTGTAAACACTGAGTTAAACCGCAGCCAATGAAGACAGAGTCGTAGTAAGTTTGACCGTTTACTGTCACAATTCTTCATAGACATGGCGGTGAAAACTATAAATAAACACAGGAAATGTGGATATGATCCTGGCCATAGGCCAGCAGTTGCGGATTACCTGCTTGTCTCTGAGCAGAACTGGGTCCAGAACTGGTTGGCTAGAGTTTGAACTTGTCTCCATTGCTTTGTGTACAAGTCTTTGTCAGAGAAGTCTCCTGGTGGAGGCGGAACTCCTGTCTTCTGTGTTAGGAGCATCGATGGTGAAAGTATCTGGATCCGTGAGGAGAACGTCGTTGAGGGAGACCCCAGAGTACTTGGCGCTGGAGTCAAAGACCACCCTGATAATGTTTGGCTTTTTTGGATGATACACCCCAAAGGTTGGGAGATATCAGCACTCCTCATCTTCTCTCAATGGCGGTGCTAACTCAGCATGTCCGTTGGCAAAGATATTTTTCATGAACGCCACATACTGCTCTTGCGTCTCAGGTTTCCTTTTTAAGGTTCATTGCAGGGAAGTGAACCTGTTCACTGCCTGCACTTTGTTGTTCGGCAAAGGCCTGTGTGGTTCTCTAAATGGTAGTGGAGCGACCCAACTGTTGGCGTCGTCTCTGAAGACACTCTTGTCCATTATCTTTAAGAAGGTGACATTTTCCACTGACGGAGCTGGTCTGTTGTCATGTTCAGTTTGATTGAACACTATCTGTCCCAGCATTTTCTCAGTAACCTTGCCAGGTCTGCTGAAGCTTTGCTGTGTCTCTTTAACATGCATAAAGCTTGTGCATGGATCGAACATTGAATGGCGACCACTGTCCAACACGTTGGTTTTAAACGCGTTGACTATGGGCTTATGCACATTACCCAGGCACACCTCTCCTATCACTACCCAGCCCAGGTCCAGTCGTTGGGCAAAGGGGGCGACCTTGTGTGCCTGAAGGACGTCTCTTCCAAGGAGCAGAAGTATTTTGGCTTCTTGGTCCAGTTCTGGGATGTGATTGGCAATATGATGAAGATGAGGCTGGTGAAGAACGGCACTGGGTGTGGGAATCTCAGACCGATTATTTGGGATCTCGTGACATTCAATGATTGGTGGAAGAGAGATGAGGACTTTTCCATCCAGAGACTCGATCTGAAATCCTTCTGCCTTCTTGCCAGATGTTTCAACTATGCCAGAGCAAGTTCTGAGACAGTATGAGGATGGTTTGCTCTCTACGTTGAATAGTTTGAAGAACTCAGGGGTAGCTAATGAGCGATTACTCTGGTCGTCCAGAATTACATAGGCTTTAATGGCAATGTCCTTAGAACCCTTGGGGTATTTCTTTGCGAGGCAGATTTTCGAGCATGAGCAGCTCCACTGACCTAGTCCACAAACTTCTGTGCAGCTAGTTCTAACAACGTCCTGGTTGGAATCTTCTCCCTCCCCGCCGTTCTCTTGTGACGTTGAAGGAGCCTTGAAGATTTGAGGTGCTGGACCAGGATGCATGGCTACATCATGATATGTGCTGTCACACTCAGAACACTTTACAGAAGTCTTGCAGTCTTTGGCTAGGTGGGAGAATGAAGAACAGCATTTGAAACATATTCCTTTCTCTTTGCGAAACGCTTTCCTGTCGTTGAGGAGTTTGTTTCGGAATGTTCTACATTTTCTTAGCGGATGAGTTTGATTATGTAATGGGCAGTTCTTGCTAGGATCCTTGTTGGGTGAAGAAACCTCAATTTTGTGCACTGAGATGGGTTTGTTGCAAGCGGCAAACTGTGGGGTAGAGCCGGGAAGCCAATACGGAAGTGCCACACACTGCAGTTCATATATTGGCCGATAGGCGATGGCTGCAGAAAGGAGCAATTTCCATAGACCCCCATGTTAAAATGCCCAACTTTACAGCAGAAAAAAACATGTTTCTACCCCTGGCTCCATACATTTTATTATCGATATAGTTAGATTCCACCTTCATG